GGTTTTCTGGCGTGGTTGAAGCAACGGGCCGTGAGACCCCGCTGAGAGATACAGCTGACTGATGGAGGCACAGCACAGGCAGGACTAGTGGATTCACAGGAACGGCTAGCAGGCTGGTATGCTAAAGGCTAGATCAAGGCTGAATGCTATCATTACGCTGAGAGTCCGGTGGTTCCTTCTGTTCTCTTAGTAACATTAACTAAGTGACCACACAGCGGCAGATGAGTGATTACTAAAAGAAGCAGTTCAAGTAAGCGGCTCTGTTAGTGTGTGTCAGCGTTACCGCTGACGTGTTGTTAAGTTCTGTCTACTGGCGCCTGTGCACACATCAGAAATCATATATATCGGTATCCCCATCACTGATGTCGATATTGCAAAAATTCCTTGCAATCCTGCATTGAGAAACATTGTTCTGAAACTACTTGGCTGTTTGCTCAGGCAGTTTTTCAGAAAATGGCAAATGAGTCATTCATGAATGCTCCTTTCATACCCAATCATGAAAGTATTACCCGTTACCTGTTCACCTGGTTACCGGTAGAAAGTTCAATAACGGATTTTTTTGGCCATTTCACAAACTTCCAAGTCTTTCAACTTTTTCGGAATGTGTTCCAAGCATCAAATGTGGAATTGGTGTGTATTATCAAAAATCAATCAAGTTAATAAGGTGAAATTTGAAATTTTTATGCTATTTTCAGTTAAATACCTGACAGTTTGCAAATCACAGCTTTCTGTTTTATTCGCATTTTACCTACTGTCCTAACTTTGGAATTGGGTTTGTATAATGGCTGATAATAGTTCTAAATTGCTCTGCACAAAAAACAGCGCCCAAAACATCTCTTCCACTGAAAACAATAGAAAAGAAACATACATGAGTCTGCAAAAAATCTTTCAGTGTGAACCCCTCATAATAATGTTTGCTGCTTGTTGTGTAAATTCATTCCTCCTCCATGTCGTGGTCTTTGTCTCTGGGTTCTTAAGCTACTTAAGATTCAGGGCAGTAAAATGGAAAACGTGCGTGTGCGTGAAAGAAAAGTGTCATTCCGCTCATCCTCCCAGGTGCCTAGGTGTAAGTGAATAGCCTTTTGTCTTGTAGGCCTCTCTTGGGACGCTAATGCTAATACCTAAAATCTACTCCGGCTGCAGCCTTAGCGGTGCTAATAGTCCCTTAGAGCAAACACTGGCTGTCGCTGTCTGCTGGCTTTTTCAATTAGAGGCTGAATATTCAGCAAAATTGAGTTTTCTCCTTTTGCATCATATCTTTAATGCCACTGCTTTTTGCAGTTTATTAGTTTAGGATAACATCTTGCAGTGTTATGCAAGACAAATAGATCATCTTTGCCATTTAATCTGATTTTGGACTGTATGGTGGATTGTTTGGCTCTTCTTGCCAGGCCATTTCTGTTCATGCGGGGACACTAAGCGACATCCTATTCATTATCTTATGCAATTATTTTATGGGCAAGAATGAAAAAGAATGAATAGTTCATTATTTTGATTGGGAAAAAAAAAACATTAAAGCACAGTATTTTCCATTCTTAGTTAAAATCTTAACCCAGTTTGCAAGTTTATGAAAAGTCTGCATGGCCACCGTTTTGCCATTACACTTCATTTGGTGTCATCATACACAGCAGTTATTAACTACAGCAAGTCACAGTCGAGCATATCCTGTACAGTGAACACACTTCTTCACATTTTAATGCACAATTTTTGTTTAATTAAATTTAACATGTTGAAAAAACATGAAATGTGGCCTGTGGCCTTAGCAAATACCTAGACATTGTGAACTTAAATACACAGGAAAATGCCATCAGTAAGTTTTTTTCCCTCTTAAATCACTTGCCATTGAATGTTAGCATCAAGCTAACAAAGTTGTTCGTTCACTTTCCTCCAGAGCGTTTAGCAGCTTGTCCTGACAGCAAGTAGCATGAGCAAGAATAGAATAGTTAAATAATTATTCTATATAAATGTGATTTATGAGTAAAATAAGTAGAAATACAACTAATGACATTGTGAATAAATAGTGTGTTTATCATGTTTTCATCATTTTCAGTGATTCTTTAGCTTATGAAGGGCTAGCTTCCTGGCTTTTGAGCTTAGTCAGCTGTTGTCCTGGCCACAGATACATCCTTTTCTCTCTCTCTCAGACAGTCAGACCATTTGTCCTACTTCTACTAACTTCTTTTGCTGTGAATGAACTGAGGGTCACTATTGTTCCTGTACATTTTTGTATAAATTAGTTGTATTGTTGACGCTGTTGTCGTGGACAAATCTGGTTCCTTTGTTGATCACCACGGTAACATGAGAAAACAAGCAGGCAAACACAGGAGACTGAAGTTTGCGGAATCTGCTCTGGCAGTTGATGCTCCTTTCAAGCTCTCACACAGGCGACGTCTGTCTTTGTAAAGCTGTACAGAGCTGTACGTGCAGACTTTTATGGCACATGCCTGCGCTCGTCCACAGCCGCTCTCTGAACTCTTACAGCATGGTGTTTGTGTGTGTGTGTGTGGGGGTATGTTTTTTCTGTATATATATATATATATATATATATATATATATATATATATATATATATATATATACATATATACATATGTGTGTGTGTCTGTGTGTATGTATATATAAAAAAACCTTGTCCCGACAAGGTATAAAAACAAACATATGTGTGGATTGCTTTGGCGACTATTAATCCTTGTCCACTCTATCAGTGTGGTTCAGAGGGGGTCAGAGGGTGGGTGTGGAGGGGCAAAGCACATTACTGAGCATGTGTTATTAACTCCCCCAACATTCTCTCTCTCTCTCTCGCTCTCTCTCTCTCTCTCTATATATATATATATATATTTATCTCTCTCTGTCTCTGCCTGTCTCTCTATTTCTATCTGTCAAATTCATATTCAGATAACTTTGTTGGCATGAATTGTCTTGAACAGTTGCTACCAAAGTAATTAATAGAATACTTAATACAGTACTAAATAACATAATGTTGAGAAAGACAGTAATGTACTGGCTCTCCGGTGTTTCTTATGGTGCCGTTTTTCTATTTCTAAACTATAGATGGTCACTTAGTCTGTACTTTGTTAAGATATTTCTTTCTTTAGGATTTTTTATTTTAATCAGATAGTGTTAGTGTAATAGTAATCTATCTTTATTTCCGTCTTTCTCTCTTTATCTGTGTCTATCTCTCTCTTTCTTTCTCTCCTGTTTAGAGCAGGAAATGAAGTGGATGGTTATGTCATCATCTCTGTAATCTCATCCTCCACTTTAACACAGTGTATAAAAACAGTGCAACAAGCAATATATATATATATATATATATATATATATAGTGTATTAGTTGTTTGTATATGCATGTTTAGTTGATTTTCTTATTGAAGTTAACACGCCCTCTACAGTGAACACATTTGGCGTTGCTCTGCTCTGGACCTTGATATAATTAATGAAGTGATATATATTGATGATGTGTTATTGATTTGAGTTGTTTTGGATATGATCATTTCTTGGTGTGTCATACTGTCAAATTACACATCCTCCACAGGGAACAGACTTAAATATGGTATTTTTTTTCTGGAATTTTTTGTGCACAATTTCTATTTATTTGCTGAGTTTAACATATTATGATTATGGGGTTATTTCTACAGTTCATTTTGTAGCCCGAAGTTAATATAAACTAGTTTGTTTTATTGATTATTATAAACTCTGCCTGTTTGTTATTCCTGTTCACCTGTGCTGTGTGTGTAACTCCGCCCAGTGACTGTTCTCAGATGTTTCTAGTCTGTGTAAATAGGACTTGCCTTCGTTTGGGTGCTTGTTGAGGGACACAACCGCATGAAAAGCCTACGCTAGGACATGTTTGTCTTTGTCTTTGCTTAGCATTACACTTATGTTGTTCTGGGTATTCTACCATGATTTAAATTGTGAATGTTTGTTTTCTAGAAACTGATGTATGGGCCTTTTTTGGCTTGAGGCTTGAACACTTAAAACCAGCCTGCCAGTTATTTATGGTTGTAATGTCACAGCACACGGATGTTTGGTTGCTTGTGATTCGTCGAATTCATCTAAAAGCAGTTTACAAGCTCCATGTTATAACTTCCCTACTTAAGCCTTGCAATGTATCAACATTCACACTTAAAAAAGGTGGTTCTTTATGGGTTCTTTAGTACAGAAAATGGTTCTATATACAACCATGAACCCTCCAAGAACCCTTTGCATGATTAAATAACGGTTCTTCTGACTGATGGAAAATGTGTTGTATATGGTTCTATATAGCACCAAAAAGGGATCTGCTATTGTTACAAGCTTGACATCGTAAGAATAGAAGAACTACTTCTGGTGCTATTTAGAACCCTTTTCAAAAAGATTTGGTTAGAACCATATATAGCACATTCTTCATAAATTTGAAGAACTCTCTCATTATGCAAAGAACCATTTCATGATGCAAAGTGTTCCTTGAGTTTCATGGTTCTATATATAACCATTTTCTTTACTAAAGACCCTTGATAAACCATCTTTTTTAAGAGTGTTATTGATAATAGACTATAATGAAAATTGCACTCTTTAAATTGCAATTTCTATATAAAAATGATTAATCTTTCATCCAAACCGTGTACCATTAGCCTTATTATCCTTAGTCTAGTTCTTTTTGTGTGTTTATTTTTGCTCCTTGTGTTATTTTCTGGTCTGTGTTTCTAGTTTCCTTTATTATGTTATGGATTTTTATGTGTTCTGCATCTCTTATGAATTCATTTCATCTGAAATGTACATGGATTTTAAAAATGCACGCTACCGTCGTAAACGTTTTTCCTTCTCCTATAAAGGATTTCTGAGATTCATGGTTTACAGCAGTGATGCTATGGAATAATAATTTCTGTGCGCATGCACAGAATATACAGTAATACGATATTATTTTTTCCATGTTCCTTGTGATATCATGATGTCAGTAAATCATTATGTAAGTTATGTTGTTAAAAATGTGTCTTTCTCTGTCTTTTGTATCTTCACACCAGACAAGTTCAATGCCTATGTGACCCTGAAAGTGCAGAATGTCAAGAGTACGACCATCACTGTGCGAGGAGACCAGCCATGCTGGGAGCAGGACTTCATGTTGTAAGTAAACAAAGTGACCAGTACAACATTTCCCAACAGCACTAACCAGACTGAAAAGTGTGACTGATAACATCACATGAATGATGCCTTGCTAACTTGTCCTTTCATTCATTGTTGGGGTCATTGTCCATTTGGAGTGGGAAATCATGTCACACAGGTTGCAGGGCTTGAAAAGATGCTTAAAATATTAGGCACAGCTCCAAAAATCAGTATGTTCATTTACACAGTTGATCTAAGATTAAATAATACTTTTCCCTTATGTTTTCTCTGATTTTTCTATCCTGTTTCATAGTCGCTCTGCATATGTACAACAGCTCATCACAAAACCAATTTTCAACATTTGAAAAAACATTTTTTATATAAAACAACATTTTTTAAGAGGTTTCAACTTAGGAATTTGCATAAAACAGATTCATGTTCACTTTTTATATGATTACCGTTATACTACATTTAAAAATATGTATTTTATTTAAAAATTCATTTGTCACAGAGATTTTGGTCACTAGTGTTATCAGGACTCTTATGTTATATTTTACATTATTTTCAGCTCTATTAAACTGCTTCTTGGGTCAAGGCTCATCATAGAGGAAGCCTCTCAAGACATGAGAAGGCCACGCTTGCTCACTATATTTCATGAATTTATTATTTTGTTTATTGGGCAGCTCATCACTTCCATGTGTCACCAGCGCTATGTGTTTTAATGGCTGGGTAAGTAAAATTTGGTCAGAACAATGCCAAATATCATTTTTATTACTTAATTCCCACTCCAAATGGAGAATGACATGTTAGCAATGTTATCATTACTACATTCAGTGAGTTTTTGTCATGCTAGGGTTGTAATGCCACGAAGGTCCCCATTCACTTCAATTCATCACTTAATTCTTTGGTAAAGCATTCATTGATAGCAGTGTTTGCATTTTTTAGTTTGAATATATCTTTTGCACCACACTACTTTCAGTGCCAGTTATCATCATGCTAATGAGGTTGTGTTAACTGGCCCCCCTTTACTTTTATTCATTGCTAGTGTTAAGGCTCATTTATACACGCTTTACGTACAAAAATCAATACGTCTGTTTCCAACGATGTAACCGTCACAGCCCACATGCTTCCAGGCATCCTTTATGTTGGCATGGATGTTAAGCAGTAATTCAGGGGCAGTCCAGAGTCAAAGGTTTCTGACAACAACAAACATAAGGACTATGGAGGAGGTCTTAATAATGTGCCCATAGATATACATACATAGATGCAGTGTTGTCTGTTGTTTTCTGTGTGAGACAATGCATCCACCATGTTGGAGTGGTCAAGATCCGCTTGTAAACAAATACACATGTATTGCGAGAAATTAGTTTTGTTATAATCCACAGATACAGATTAATCTAGGTTGCACAACCTCTCTCGGTAGCATTTATTTCTGTAATAACTGATGGCTAGCTGTCTGGAGCAGCAGGAAAGTATTCAGTCTGCACCTGACATTAAAAACCAAATTTAGTGCAAGCTCTCACACATATCCATCAGTGTGTGAATCACGTCTAATTTTGCACATGAAAATGAAATAAACCCCCCAAAACACAGTAAGAAAGACGAAACTGTAGGTGGCTTATTATGTAAGTTGGCCTTTTCGCCAGCTTTTCAATTTTTACCCGATTTTCTCCCCAATTTAGTCGTCTCCAATTCCACCCGCTTGTTAGGACTCCCCCAATCACACATGACGCTATCAACGCTAGGAGGGTGAAGGCTAACACAGGCTTCCTCCATGACCTGTGAAGCCAACCACCGCTTCTTTTCGAGCTGCCGCTCACACAACGTCATTGGACAGCCGAACGCGCTCGGAGGAAAGCGCCAACCGCCAGATCTGTTACGTCAGCTAATAGACGCCTGCGCTGACTAGCATCGCGCTGAGTGAGTGATGGGGGGAGAAAGGCAGCCATCCCACCCACCCAGAGAGAGCGAGGCCAATTGTGCTCTCTTGGACTCCCAGCTATGGATGGCTGTAGCATCACCAGGGATCGAACTCGCGATCTCCTGATGATAGGGCCAACGCTTAGACAGTTGCGCCACTTGGGAGCCGCCAGCTTCTTTTTTGAATTTTTCCATTCCTCCTTTTTGAAAAAGGTTCTATATGACACCGAAAAGGGTTGTTCTATTGTAACAAGCCTGACATCTTAACAATAGAAGAACTCTTTGGGGTGCTATGTAGAACCATTTTCAAAAAGGTTCTAAATAGAAGCACATATACATATTCATTAAATGCGATGTTTTGGAGAAGCACAGTGAGCCGATCGGGGGTTGTGGTCAGAGCAGATTTTTTTAAGGCTGATGGCCAAGGCTGGAGCGTCTTGTAAAGCCTTGTGCTGGCAAACTGATGATCTCCTCCAGGCCGTCCGTTTAACAGCGCAGATAATCAGGCTGGATTTCACCATGCAACAGCTTATCGCTCTCAGCATTACAGACCTGCTGGCCTCTTAAAAACACATGCTTTTCAACCCATAATTTTCTCATGTGAAAAATAATTAAGAACACATTTTATTATTATTATCAAAAGATATGTAATACATGCTAAAAATGATGATAAAATATAATAATATATGCTTTCATTTTTATATATACAGTATATTCATTATTGTTTATAATAAATGTATTTGTTTTTATTAAGAAAAGATATTTCATAGATAAATACAATAAATATGTAATTATGTGTATACAGTACTGTGCAAAAGTCAGTGACCACCATTGATGTATCAAAGTTCAAGTCAAAATCAAGCTACTAAGTACAAGTTATTCATTTTTCGGGAGATATTTTTCAGGAGATTAGACAAAATATAATCCATTTGCATGAGAAACAGCTGTGCAAGACCTGGTAGACACCAAAACTGTCTCCATCAGATAAACAGCACTTAACAGCTTTCACCTTTGAGAGAGAGGAGAAAACTAAAGCTGCTTCAGATCTGAAAACATCCACAAGTGTTTCAGTCGATCCTTCCACTGTGAGAAGACAACTCAGCGCTATGGATCTGAAAGGATGTGTAGCTGTCAAGAAGCCTCACTGAGAAAAAGAGACAGACTCATCAAACAAAGAAGCTGAACAATGGACTGACCACCCCAGAGTCCAGACCTCAACATCACTGAATGTGTTTGATTACTTCAGAAAATGATCAACCAACTTGTAAGACTGAACTTTGGAGATGTGTCTGCAGATTTCTTTGAGAAACTGAAAGTGAGTCTCCTGAAAAGAATGAAAGCTGTAATAAAGGTAAAGAGTAACATACTAAACACTGAAAAAGGGAATATTATGTTTACTTGAGTTAAATATGTCTTATGCTTTTCTCTGGTGCTGAAAAGTGAATAACTTGTACTCAATGGAAGTTTTAACTGCAAATGAAATAAATGAAGGGTGATCTCAAACTTTTGCCTATTACTATATATTTTAAATAAAAAATATAAATGAAATATTGAAGATTTTATTCATATACATGTGATTAGACTGCTGGTGTCATATTAGAGTTTGAGAATATTAACAAAATGCCTCTATGCTTTAACATCAACTTGAGCACAAAAATTGATTATGTGTGAGAGAGAGGAGCTTTCAGGACCCGGTCCAGCTGCAGATACACCTGTCACCTGAATGAAGTGAACAGTGTGATGTCTGGCGCTGGCATGGTGTGTCTTTATGGCCCTATCGCCGTGAAAGTGGCAGACTGTGTCCCTTCTCTGATTTCCAGGAATGTGGAGGTGTTTTTTTTTTTGGTTTTTTTTTGTTTTTTTTCTGCCATCCACCACGTGAGTTGTGTGTTTCAGGGGAAGGAAGTCAACTCGCTGTTCTTTGACTGTTGACTTTCATTGGCTGATATCCATGTCCTCTCTCGGGTAACCGTGTGGAAAAATAACAACAGTATACGGGTTTTGGGAAGTCGAGTATTAATATTTGTCAAATAAAAGAACATAATAAAGCACAGTTCTGTCAAAGTTATGGTTGTACTATGCTGCCATCTTTAATTTGGCCATGTAACTGTAATTAATCTCATAAGAATAAATGTAATTGTGAATGTCTCACAAACTTTACTATATGAAAGTTTGTGGCTGCTTAGCTTACTACTTTGCCCTTTCTCTGAAGCCATTTCTCCTGAGGCCATTTGAAACAACCCATTTTGCCTGATGGACGAGAGCTGAGACCAAGACCAAAAACCAGACGATTGGTGTGTTTTGCTGAAGCCGCTAATCTTAATACTAAAGAGAAGACTGACAACAACTCAGCTTACTTAAAGCTGCACTAAATCTACACTGTGTTTTGGAGACTTCTCTAGTGGAAATCTATGTGTAATTGCACACAACATGCGGAAAATATTACGACTCACAGTAGCGCACACTCACCATATTTTAAAGTGTTTTTTTATTCTCCTGACTCAGTAATGATACTTCTTTCAACTCTAACAATAAAACCTTACATGTTGTACCCTGTCAAAAAAAGATACTGTGCAGGTTTTTTTTTGTTCAACAAGGTACAAACAATGTAAATGTACCTTTAAAGGTACAACAGTGGTTTTAAGGTCCAACAGTGTACCTTAAATAAGTAGCGGGTCTATTTTTATGTTTTAAAACAGAACAATAAAATAAAAAGCTGGAGACAAGACTTGTGTAGAGTTAACATTTAATTATTACAGATACTAAGAGATGTACCTTTGAGGGTACCATCCCAATGATGAGGGGTACCACCTTAGTGACAGTTTTGTACCTTTGTTTCTGAGAGTTTGTCTAATATAACAACTCTGTTTTATGGTGTAATTACAAAAAATATTCAAGCATCTTCCAGACTTTTTGCCTATAAGCAGCCATCCACACTCTGTATAACAGAGCCTTAAACTAAACCTCAATTCACCGTGCTATAATAAAACTATACCAAAGTAAAAAAGGTGATAAAAATCAAAAATTGTGTCTTTGTCATATTGCCAAATATCCATCATACTTCAAGACATTTTATCAGTACACGATATCACAGTGTTTGATTTTTATGAGATTTGCTAAGTTTGGGGGTCCAACCTATTCCACTATGTGATGGCGTATGGAAGGCCTACTTGATTAACATGAGCTGTGAATCAGCTCCAAAACTGACATAACTGATTTACTGCCTTTTATGAGCCAAAATTGTCTTCTCATTTGATGTTGTTTGTTTTTATAGCTGCACTTAAGATGCAGTTGGATAATAGTTTGAAAGTCCCATTAGCAAAGTTCACAGTCATATACGCTGCTGTCTGGATTGCTGGAAGTGATTTCTGAAATAGGAGGTCGTAATATTGTTACTCCACGTAAAACTTCTCTTTCCTTCTTCATGTATGTGTACGTTTTATTGATTTTCTAAGTGAAAATAAGTGAACACATTATCTACAGAGAACATTTTAATCCACAATTACTGTTTATTTGCTGAATTTAACATACTGGGGTCAATTAAAATGCGCAGAAATTGGCAGAAAGCAGTATTTAAGTGTGTTCTCTGTGAGGGATGTGTTAACTTATTTTCACAAAATCAACAGAACATGACGTTTGCTTTTGCTTACGGCTGTGTCTCTTTCCTTTTCTGAAGCCGGGCTGAATTCATTCTCCAGTCTTTGGTAGATGTTATCTTAAAGGGTTTTAGGTGCAGCCTGTAAAACAATAACCTGGTCTTGGGAACCGGAAATGTACTTAAGGCCAGTTTAATGACTGCGTGCATTCTCTTCTAGTTTGACTCCGGAAGAGCCAGATGTCCGCCTGAACAGGAGTCCTTATAGTGTGTCTTTGCTCTCAGAGAAGCATTACAGATAATAAGATAATGTACAAGATGCCGTCCCCTGAGGGAACAGCGCAGGCTACCAGAGGGAATTAGAAAGCAGCCACAGACAATACATTGCCTCCTACTTGTTAGAAGTTCCTAGAGGGAATTGGTGGAAGTGGGTCTTTTTAAGCAGAGGTGGCTTAATGTAATGAATTTTGATTGATTGATTGATTTTATTAAACCTTTTCATAGTTTTAAAATAACAGCACTTTAAAGGGTTATGCCATAATATAAAGACATAAAGGCTTATTTCTATTGTATTCCATTTCTATTGAGTCTGTTGTGTAGTGGATCAAAGCACAAACCTTTTTGAAGGAATTTGCTTGTATGTTGGCTTTTCCCAGGACCAAGACCAGTCCCGCTGTTTGATTCATGATAGTTTCAAAGCTTATGTAAGTTTAAAGGGGAATTCCACCAATGCTCGTCTGCATAATTCAGTGGTTGAGATGTAAGCAGTCATTACAGAATCAGAGTGATTTGGTGTGAAATGGTTGATTGTAGAGACTCTGATTTCTTTACAGCGGTGGTGATAGGAACCAGGGGTCACCATGACATGAACACAAATATAGCCATTTGATTTACCACCCAAAACCACCAGTAAACCTACATGTGTCTTCTGAGTTTTATATGGGATGTTGATGATGGTAAAATAGTGGTAAATGTGAAAAAAGAAGTTTTATCTTTTGCCTTTTGTCTAATAAAATTATCGTAGAACAATCTTAGGCATCAGGCAGGGTATTATTTTATGCAATAAGTTTCTGTAGAACTGAGAATTTCTCTCCAACTCACTCTGAATGACTTTGTTTCTCAATGGTTTATTTATGCAGAAATTAAAAAAACAGTGGAATTCCCCTTCAAGATGGGAAATGTTAACTTGTAACGAGACCACTTGGAATGCATAAATGCATCGGTGCATCAATCTGAAATTGGAATGTTAGTATCATTTATAGGGGTGTACACATATCAGTCTACAGCAGTTAAGCTCCACTCATTCAGGCTGAGTAAGTTATAAGAAGTGTTTCATGTGAGGTGTGTGAATGAGACACAATCCAGGCAATCAGAACAAAGCTCATTTTACATCTACATTTTACAAGGCACAGTGTCTGAAATAACCTGTTTAATTCAAAGGGTTAAAGAGAGGTTAGAAAATTGTCATGTTAGCATATATTATGGTAGGAAATCTCTTTTGGACTAATTATACCTTGTAACACGATCTTATTTGACAAACCTGCAGTGCTCAGATACGTATTAGTTATGAAATCTTGCGTCATGACGTTTTAGGCTACAACCCGTCTCCATAGCAACCAATTAACTTGTAATTACTCTGTCCCTCTGTTGCTGCTGCTGAGTGTGTTTTTTTTAGGAAATAAAAGGAAGAAATAAATAAATAAACACAGTAAACATGCACGTTCTTCATCATGCTGTCCTCCGGCTGGGAGTCGTCTGGTCCTCGTTGCACTTAGCAGACAATTGAGGGAATAAATGAATAATGAATGGATTTCAGAACGCTGCTCTCATGGCGCTTTTGCGAGAGCGCTGGTTAGAGATGGAGAGATAGAGGGATGAAAGAAGTGTTTGCAGCCAGTAGAAATGCATGGAGCCAACGTCATTTCAGCAAACACCCATTTCATAATGTCCATCAGTTCAGCAGAGGAAAAACATTAATGTAACAAAGGTTAATTCCAAATTTCTATCCATCCGATCACCTGGAAATGTTCACACAAAGGGGAATTCAACCCATTTCTCAAAATTTCTGCATAATTAAATGCTTACGAGAGGCTTGATGTAGGGTTGGGCGATATCCCCTTATATAATATTTAAAATGAACTGCTCAGATCATCTCCAGATATTACTGTGGTATACAGTATTACGGTTGGGGGGGGGTGGTGGTGGTAGTGGTGGTGGTTTTAATACCATCAACATTTTAAGTACAGAGGTTTACCTTATTACTTTTATGCCACCCAACCCTAGTGTAAGGTGAAATGCTCCATTCTAGAGAAACCAGTGCTGTATTTAATGTATTCATGGGTTGTGTCAGTATTTAGGTTTGTCAGTTAACAATTAATCACTGACTTACAGCAAAAGAATCTGCCAAAATTTGCATCCCTCATCAAAGTTAAAACACTGGACAGTGGAATCTTCCTGGGATTTCCAATACGTTGTGATTTTTAAAGGTAGATACAGTTTCTCTTCATGCTGAAACCTGTTGGAAGTGGTGTGTGTTTGATCCCTGTTGTTTCTCTGCATGATGCACCTGATATTAATAAAGCTGGAGACCAAAGAGCTGGAGGATGTGTTAATGAGCTCGGCTCTTTCATACTGAACTGCTCCTGTCTTCTTTTGTCTGGTCTCATCGTGTCGTATGAAGTGGCATCTTACAGACAGCATGTGTGGAGATCAGACGCTGTGGGTGAGGAAAGAGAAATGAAGTGTGTTTATACACTGTGGGTGTTCGTATGAGCGCAGGCACTGCACTGAATGTGCCTTGATTTGACCACAGTATGCACCCACAATGCGCCTCACGTTAAATCTGTTTAGTAAGGCTACACAGAGGACCCCACACTGCGCATAGCCCTGTCCACTAGCCACTCGCTCATGAGGCACAGAGTTTAAAAGGCATGGTGAGATGATAAGCTTGAGACAAAACAAATAATGGAAGTTCGTGGTGAACAGAGAACTGCATTAATAAGTTAACATTCATTCTACAGAGGAGAGAGTGTGTGAAATGATAGCACGGACTGCGAGCACATGTTGCCGCCGCATTTTGACGTATTTTGCACCATATTTTGTGCTGAAGTTTAACACGTCCTCTAATGCACATGTGTCAGGATCCAGTCCTTGCAGGCCAAAACACTGCATACTTCCGCACTCTGCCTCATTAAACACACCTGATTCAGCTCGTCGTCTAATTAGCAAGGCTTTCATGAACTGAATTCAGAGCGCTAGATGAGGCTAAACGCTAATCTCTGCAGCTCTTTGGCCTGCAAGGTCCCCAGTTTGACATGCCTGATCTAATGCTTCAGATATGGAAAATGCCATTCATGCCTTCGTGACATGTAGATTGGATTACTGTAATGCGCTATATTTTAGAATTAATGAAGCATCTCTTGCTCATCTACAACTAGTTAGCAGCCAGAATATAAAGTGGTATGAAGAAAAGAGAGCACATTACTCCGGTTTTAGCATCTTTAAACTGGCTCCCAGTGCATTACAATGTCCAATATAAAATGGCATTGATGGTTTTTAAGGCCTTAAATGGTCAGGCACCATTTGCAAATGTTGTGTACATGCTTTGTATGCATGTGCCTTCCAGATCTTTAAGGTCTGCTTCCCAATTACTTTGAACTGTTCTATGGTCTCGTCTCAAAGAAAAAGGGGATTGTGCTTTTGCTGTCGCTTCCAAGACTTTGGAATGGTCTCCTAAATGACATTTGGCGTGTTCCATCTGTAGATGTTTTTAAAACCAAGCTTGAAACACACTTTTATCGATTAGCATTCAAAATGTTGAACTGTAGATTGAGGACTGTACACTGTTGTGTTAGTGTACATTGGTGGTGATCAGAGGTGGAAATCCTTTTTGTGTTTTATTGTAAAGCACTTTGGTTTTAAGTGTGCGCTATAAATAAAATTTACTTACTTACTCTACAGAGCAAATTTTAATACACAATTTCAATGCTTTGTTTAACATAAAATAAAAAATGTGCCATACGTTTTGCACAGGCCATGTTTTATGTTATATTATTTTTCCTAATTTGTTACATTAAGCAAAGAAATGGCAAGTAATTGTGTATTAAAACGTGCAGACATGTGTAGAGGAGTGTTAACTTATTTTCACTAAGAAAATCAATAAAACATAATTTGCCTAGGGGTACACAGACTCTTGCATATGACCTTATAAAGCAGCAAGAGGTGCAGTATCAGCTGCTTGTGTTCTGGGATTCCGTGCAGCGGTACATCCTGTAAAAACATCTTTACATAATTTAGAATAATGCCCTCAAGTGTGTGTGTGTGTGTGTGTGTTTTTTTTATCTCAGTCTACAAGTAAACATTATGTACATGAATACTATGATTAGTTTGGATATCTGTATAGTTGAATAACCGCACACATCTCCCTAAAAAAATGACTTTTCAGAATAAAACTAAAAATGAAGCACCTCTGCTCTTTGTGTGATCCCGCAGTGAGATCAGTCGGCTGGACCTGGGCCTGATTGTGGAGGTATGGAACAAAGGCTTGATCTGGGACACCATGTTGGGAACGGCTTGGATTCCTCTCAAAAGCATCCGGCAGTCAGAGGAGGTGAGGTCATCATACAAAAACACCCATAATTAATTGATACATGAAGAACATATACACTGACCGCCCACTTCATCCACCTCCTTGTATCTGCACTCCTTGTCCATTTTATCAGCTCCACTGATCATATAGGAGCGCTTTATATTTCTGCAGTTACAGACTGTAGTCCATCTGTTTCTCTGCATACTTTGTTAACCCCCTTTCACCCTGTTCTTCAGTGGTCAGGACCCCCACAGCACCGCCACAGAGCAGATGTTATTTGGGTGGTGGATCGTTGTCAGCATTGCAGTGATGGTGGTGTGTTAGTGTGTGTTGCTCTTGTAAGAGTGGATCAGACACAGTAGTGCTGCAGGAGGTTTTAAACTGTAGATGTAAAGTCAGAGACAATAGCTCAGTCATCCTCTAGTCCTTCATCAGTGGTCACAGGACGCTGCCCACAGGACGCTGTTGACTGGATATTTTTGTTTGGTGGACTATTCTCAGTCCAGCAGTGACACTGAGGTGTTTAAAAACTCCAGCAGCACTGCTGTGTCTGATCCACTCACACCAGTGCAACACACACTAACACACCACCACCACCACGTCAGTGTCACACAGAGTTTTAGTCCACAGGCAGAGCCTTATTTTAGCCACGCCCCTGCATTTTAGAGCAGGAAGTCAGACTGCATCCCTGTCCCTCATGGCCACATGGTGAGCAGTTAGATCCCATTGTTTTGAAGTAAATGTGTCCCAAAGTCTGAAAATCAGTGTGGAATGTTAAGAATTTTTATCAAGTCACTTAAAAGTCTGAAATTTGTTTTGAACTCTGACTTTGAACCAGTTTGGTTGAATGATCCATATACAAAAGGTGGCAAATGAGAGACTCTCAGAAAAGAGTGAACAGCGCATCATCAAGACAACACTGTTTCAAACCACTGTTTCGAAACCTTGATTATTCCAAATTTTTGATACTGTGTCTACTGGCAGTTTAGTGTCGACACCCTCTTTGTTTATGCTGGACAGCCTTTAAAATGACCACCCCCCACTTCCATTTCACCATGGGTTTGTTTTTCTTTGGTTGATCAGTGTGGAAGGGCTTTAAGTCAAGGTGCTGTTGGTTTACTAGTCATAGTCACATGTGATGGCCCAGGTCTTTCTTACAGTTGAATGTTGTCTTGATAACTAATTATTCCCAATTACCTTTATCAGGAAGGTCCAGGAGAATGGACATTTCTGGACTCTGAGGTTTTGATGAAAGCAGATGAAATATATGGCACCAAAAACCCCACACCTCATCGAGTCCTGCTGGACACACGCTTCGAGCTGCCCTTTGGTGAGATGCCTGGTTTATATTTTTATTCTATATTAAGGATATGTTATTGTTATCCTGCTAAATGACACCATGGTAGTCTTTTCTGTGTACATGATAGATATGGTTATTAATTTATTGCGTTAATGCATTATTGACTCTTTAACTTTGACCCTACTAATATATGTCTTAGCAGACGTCAGCTGTAAATGGCCAGCATGGCAGAAACTGCCAGCCTCTTTTCCACTAGGAGTTCTGGTTACTGATCAGCCTGAGATAATGGCACTTACGGTTCAAATGATATTGAACTGTATTAGTTTGGGTTTGTGGGCAGCTGCTCATGTTGCTGTTGCTGTTCCATCTGTGTCCTTTATCCAGTGTTTCCCATTGATTCACTTAAATGTCATTAAGGTTGAGTGAGTCTCAGAGAAAGCACTGCCATCTTAAAGGAGCTTCACCCAAAAATGCTAACATGGCATCAAAAGAACGAATGCCTGTGACCGTCTATTGATAGGTAGCATTTAGGATGAAGTAACCCAGGGCCGTCAAACTCTAAATTTTAAATAAAATAAAAGCACAGCTGGCCCACAGATCTGTTCAGATTTTTTAATTTGACCCTTTTAGTGGCCATATTAAAAAATCTCAACAGATCTATGGGCCAGCTGTGCTTTTATTTTATTTTTACATAACATTTTGCCAACTGGCCATTATTTATGTAAAATATGCCAAAACTACAATGGCCAAAAATAGGCACCGAATACTGAAAGACAATTCAAAATTATTTTAAATAAAAACAATTGTTTTATATAAAAACAATAGATTACATTAGCTGCAGATAACTCTTAAACCTCTTTAAATGTCCCCAGTGTACAGTAGGTTGGGGAGGGGGTGGGAGCACATATTACATTGCAGTGATTGCTGGGAACTGTAGTGCAGCTCATGGTGAAATGGGCTAATATTAATAGAAAATTAAAATAATTTCCCGGGCCGAATAGGATTGTTCATCCAAATATAGCATCCAAATGGGTTCTTTTATTATTGTAAGCGTGACATCATAACAATAGACGAACCCTATTGGGTGCTACATAGAACCATTTTTAAAAAGTTCTAAATAGAACCATTTACAGCACATTCTCCATCAGTCTGAAAAACAAATACATGATACAAAGAACCTTTAATCATGGAAAGAGTTGTTTGAGTGTTCATGGTTCTATATAGGACCATTTTATTCACTAAAGAACCCTTGAAGAACTTTTTTAAGAGTGTATAAAAACAAAATTCCTATCATTAATGGTTACAAAAGATTAAATCCTCTTAATATCTAGGCCTGAACGATTTGTGCGAAATATGTAATTGCAGTTTTTCTGACCGATATTGTGACTGTAGTTTAAGTTTTGATTATCAAATCAAATCAAATCAAATCACGTTTGTTGCCACATCACTTTTACACAGCTGCGAAGGTGAGTGCAAATCTTAGGTGCGAATCCCCCTTTGTAGTACTTACATTTACTGTATAGCTATATATATATACATGAACATTATATATATATATATATATTTGTAGTTGTGTTGGGTGTTTGGTTGCTTCTGATTAGTCAAACTCATCTATAGGCGGTTCACAGGCTTCATGTTATTGTGTTTAAGTTTCCCCACTTAAAACGATACTAATTGTTTTAAGTGGGGAAAACAATTAGTATTGTTTTAATACTATAACTGAAATTGCGATTTTAACATGAAACAATTAATCCTTCAGCCCTGTTTAGATCTGTACCCAGTCACAGTATATTACAATGCTGATGATAAAGGATAAAAAAAATAACATGAATGATAATATTAATTTAGAAAAAAGAAACTGACAAAACTGTTTTTCTGATAGCTTTACAGTAGTGGGATTTGAATGGCAGCTCTCAGATCAGTCGTCTGTAATGTATTGTTGTCTTTTCGTTTGATATTGGATATAATAAATGCGCTGTTTGATAGATAGTTAAAGGCATATGTGCTGCTGGTGATGGAGGGTCAAGCTTCGCTAAAGCAGCATGTCTTTGGTCTGCTAAACCAGGCTGTGCCTGCGATTGATCCCATTCATACAGCTGCCTGTTTCATCTGAGCTCTTTGAAGCTGCTGTTTTTTAATGCTCAGCTGTCTTCAATGTCCAATGTACCTTCAAAGCCTGGTCATGTGACATGAGAACAAATGTGTCTGATGCTCCTCCGAGTCCCTGTTCTCTGTTACTTAGTTACATATAGTGGGCCTATTATTGAATGTTTAAACAAGATAGAATAGTGTTTGCCATTGTGGTCAGGACTGGTTGTATTCATAATTGTGTTGTGGCAGTGGCTGAATATGACTTTTACTCTTGTTGCAGGTCATATTGAGGCCAGAATTTTGTTCATACTTTTGTTAATAGTTAACTTTGGGGGTAAACAATATATTAAAAATATAATATGGTACTTCAAGACATTTCTTGATACATAATAAACATGACATTTTGTTCCTCTGAGGTTTCATAAGTTGGAACAGAACAAAGAACCATTTAACTAATAAAAAAAAAAATGGGTGAATCATTTCACACAGTGCACAGAACTACATCCAATTAATTATGAATTCCACAGCTTTTTCATAATTTCTGCATAATTCAGTGGTTGAGATGTAAATAGTTATTCGGGGTGGTTTGGTGTGAAATTGTTGATTGTAGAGATTTCTTTTCAGTGGTGGTGATAAGAACCAGGGGTTGCCATGTCTACAACACAAATATAGCTGTTTTATTCACTGTCCACAACCACCAGTTAACCAACAAATGTTTTACATGTAACATCGATAATAGTAAACAAAAAAAATCAACATTTTCTTTGCCTAACAACCTGTTACATGCACATCTACGCCATGAAGTAATTTAAAAATAGGTGTTTTAGGCCAAAACTTTATTGCAAAACTGTCATAAAATAGTGTCTCATGCGTGAGACGATGGATTTCATGTAATCATTTTTTGTGAGGGAGCTTTTAGAGGCACTAAACTCTCCAGACGTCTGGTTCCTATCACCACCACTGTGAACAGTTCTTGCTAAGGTTCTCTACAACAGAGCATTTCACATAAAACCTCTCTAAATTACTTACATCTTAACCATTTAATATAGCAGCAATTTTGAAAAATATATGGAAATTCTCTTTAAACAAGACTAATTATGCTCTCTTTGTAATGAAACATGCAGTTGTCGGTGTTCCTTAAGTACTGCGATATCCACAATGTCCTCAGAAAAGTGTATTGTGATGTGGTGTGATGTAATTTATCAGGACAACAATATTGTTATATTGCCACTGCCAAACTATAGCATATTGTCAGAAACCACACAAGCAAGTCTATTAGAGATTACTAAATAGCGCCACACAGTTTGAGGCAAGTTTGCATGCTGTTTGCTGGATGCTAATTATCAGGTCCTGATTGATATGAACATGTTGGTGCTTAAACTAATATTCATTTCAAAGGGCTAAAATTATGTTAATAAAATCTAAAAATGGAAGATTTTATATTTTAATTTTAATGTTTTTTATGTAAAAGTGCTTTACTGATTGCAGTGATTGTCACAATGGTTACACTTCTAAAACCTCAAATAAACAGCAGAAGCTCACAGTCTTAAATAGTGTAAAGATTGTAACAGTGGGGGTGGACCTACCTGGAATTTGTGTTTTTGGTTTTTTTAACTTTTATTTTATTTCTTTTAATCAGTTTTCTTAAACGTTTGTGTGTTCTTGTTGTTTTAACCATGTTTTTTTAAGTTCTGCATTTAGATGTGCTGGTTAGGCATGTATTCTTGCATGTACAGTCGTATGTAAACAAACACCCCCAGTCAAATGATTTACTTTATTGATTTTTTTATTTGATTTTTTTTTTTAAATAAGCTAACATGTCTAACACATGGAATTATGGCATTTTCTGCCAATTTTAGTGCACAGTGTCTAATTTGGCAAAAATATAAAAAGTGCTATAACCTCTGCACACGGTTGTAGTTAAACTGGGTCACCCAGTGTCTAAGATTTTGCCCAGCTGATATTATTGGCCAACCAATATATCTGTCAGCCTCTACTGGCTTAAGTGTCGTAACTCCAGTGCAAAAAAGAAGCCGACACCAAATATGACTGTACAACCACATTTGGAAAAAGAGGATTGGCTAAAAAATTGGCTAAAAAAATAGATTTTTCTGTGAACTTTAAGGTTTGAGGTTTGTATTTGAGGTTTGTATTCTGAGTAGCTCATTACAAACAGTGTTCAGACATTTAGAATTCATAGTCTTTGCACTGTACTTCACCTTACACCATTTCTCCCTCTCTGACAGAAATCCCAGAGGACGAGGCTCGGTACTGGTCCGGCAAACTCGAGCGTATTAACACTCTGGGGTTACATGATGAGGTAAGGCACTCGGCATAACCTACCTGCATCACATTAAAGGGCCCATATCCTACATTTTTATTGTGTTTTATTTTTTACCCCTGAGGTTCACTTAGAACATTTGTTTGGATTTATAAACAGTCATCAGTTGCTTTTTTACATGACCATTTTTAACCTCAATCTTTTAGAATCAAACAAGTTGTTTTTGTTACTGTGCCTTTAAGATATATGTATATGACCTCTGTTCTGATTGACAGTCAGAGCTGAAACACTCCCTAAAATGCTAATATGAATGAGCAGGGTTAAACTGCTGGGGGCTAAAGAGGTGGATGTATGTAAAAGAGCTGGTTCATGTGACATTGCAGAACCAATGCACGGGCAGTTTTTGCAGCTTAGTGTCTATATATGGACTGTATGTACTGAATGGTCTGTTTTGAAATTTTGATAATGTTTACATATTACTTCAGCTTCCTTTTTTTCCAAAAAAGTGAAGGAAATATTCCTATTGAAAAGTTTCTCATATATAATATCCCTGTTGTTGGAAGAAAACTTCATATCTACAAAATGGTAACTTTACCGGAGAAGGAAAAAACCTGCTTTACTTGTAATGTAAGTAAATGGAACCAGATTTATTTCCAAGTCCTTTAGGGATGTTTCTTTAGGTCCATTCATAATGAAATTTACACACAATGTAAAGGGTAACAGGCATTTTCAAATTATACCAAAAACTGAAAAATGGAGATACAAGGTTTTCTTCAAACAATAGCGATATGCTTGTGTATGTCTTGGTGTAAGATTTCTGCTGATGCAATATCAGGTTTTCAAATGACACAGTGGAGCTTTCAGTCATGAATCTTAGTTTTGATTTTTTCTCCAACTATGGGTTGTTACAGTTGTGTGCAAAAGTTTGGGTGCCACTAGACAAATTGCATGCTTAGTTGATGTTTTTAAGTAAAAAGAACACACCTCTGCACACTTTAATGCACAGTTACTGTTTATTTGCTGAATTTAATTTATAAAATGTGGCCTGTGCAACAGTTATGTCATTTAATGGTTTTAGTTTCATTTTTCACCATATAATAAACTCAGCAAATAAATAGAAATTATGCACTAAAATTTGCAGAAAAGTGTGTTCCCTGTAGAGAATATGGTGCATATGGGATTGTTAGTTGTTAACCTATTTTCACCTAGGAACTTAACAAAACCTAACCTGATCAGAGGCACTTAAACTTTTGCAAACAACAGTACTAAGAGGCACATATAAGGAATTGATTTAGTTCTGGTGGAACTGTTCAAATGATGGAAAAACTTAGAATGTTAGTAATTTTTGTTGTTTTATATACATAGTAGCTTATACAGTGTGGATTTAATGATTAACAACTGTTCAGCAAAAAGGTTTTATTCACTATTTCAAGAATTCTGTGTAGGATGCAATTCACTTACAAATAGTGTACTGTAATCATTTATTTACATTCATTTCTTTTAGACGTATCCAAGCTTCTAAGATTTGATCTCCTTTTTTGGAAACATGATGAATTCTGGGTGTTAATTTGATCAAAACTTTTATTTACAGCTTCTTAGCGTCTTACTTATCATTTGAAGCACATGAAGTGATATTAGAATCATTATGTACACTGGCCTGGAACCCAATTTGTTTATTATTGAAAATTTTGATTCCAAACTTTTGATCAGCAATTCCAAAATATTGAACCGTAGTGTATGTAAGATCAATCTGCCCTAATAATAATTGGCTCCTGAATGTGTTATGACAGAGAAACTGGAGGTGGGTTAAATGAAAAAAAAAATTGTAATTACTTCTCACTTATTCTCTCTAAATACTTCTCTGAGAATATCCTAATGTCAGTGCATAAAGAATGTTGGCATGTTTCATTACAAAAAGCATAAATAAGCCTGTTAATTTGATCAGAGCAAATTTTGATGTCTGCATGTCAAAATACAGTGATACATTTTGTGTATCGTGCAAATGTCTGTAGGTATTTTTATATAACTTTTTTACCCATATCGCCCACCCCTAAGAGACACTCATTCTGTTTCGTTCACATCTGTCTGCCTTGTGTCAGTATCCGCTGCCGGACGATGGAGGGAGACACCCGCTGCCCTTTGCCGCCTCTCAGTGCTGTGAGTACTTCTTCCATTTTCACACTAGATGGTGCCATGCCGTTACATCTGTATGCACCTCACTGCCAGTGTGCACGCTTTCTAGACTTTTCTGCAGCTTTGATTAACATTTATCAGCTGTACACATTTTACTGAGAGGTGATATATTTGTATGGCAGTGCTGCGGAAACTGGAAGTAGATTTTTGGTAAAATAAGTCATTTTTGCCCCTCCCTCCTTTCATATCTCTGATGTTTGATTTACCAGGCAACTATTTTGGATGGGCCAACTCACAGAGTATGTAATTATTTTGCCATTTTATGGTACAGATGACCCTGTTTTTTACCCTAACCCAGGACGACCCCAGTACTGTACAGTTTAGTGTTCTCCCTGCACTCTTTATTCTGTTGGTTGAAGCTGGGAAAGCATTAGACAGTGCAGTGCCATGCTGGAATAATGCACCTTTACCCTAATGGCTGTTTTTTTCCCCTTGAATTCTCCTTCATCATACCCAGCTTATGTGCACATTCCCTGGCTAATAAATTCTTCCCTGGCCATGGGATATTCATGCACACAGAGTGTAGCAAACAAACACATACAGATTTAAACAAATTCACATTCATATTCCAATAATGTAATTCATTTATTTGAATTACAAAGCTCCTTTGTGGTCTTGTAGAAACACTAAGGGCCTGATATACTAAGCCTTTTGTAGGGCAAATCAATGATGAAAAAGTACTGTGCAGAAGTCAGAGACCACCATTTATTTAATCATTTATTTCCAGTCAAAATAACCATAAAGTCCAAGTTGATCATTTTCAAGAGATTAGATATAAGATAATCCACTTGCTTAAGAAAGGGAAAGTCAGTGTGAAAAAACAAGAGCCTCCAAAACTGGATTTGAAAAAAAAAAATGTTGAAAGTTATTAGTAAAAGAGAAAATGGGATTCCTTACAACCACCTGCAAGACCTGGTAAACACCAAAACTGCCCCCCCATCAGATAAAAAGCTCTCAAAAAAATCTTTGAGAGAGAGGAGAAAATCAAGCTGCTTCAGATCTGAAAACATCCACAGGTGTTTCTGTCCCTCCTTCCACTGTGAGAAGACAACTCAGCGCTATGAGTCTGAAAGGATGTGTAACTGTCAAGAAGCCTCACTGAGAAAATGAGACAGACACATCAAACAAAGAAGCTGAATAATGGACTGACCACCCTAGAGTCCAGACCTCAACACCACTGAATGTGTTTGGGATTTTTTGAATGATGAGGAAAAAATGGAACCAACTTATAAGACTGAACTTTGGAGGTGTGGAAAAAAATTATATTTAGTTGTTAAGGCTTCTGTGTAGGTTTCTGTTAAATATACACTCACCAAGCATTTTATTAGGAACACCTCCTTGTTTCTACACTCATTGTCCATTTTATCAGCTCCACTTACCATATAGGAGCACTTTGTAGTTCTACAATTACAGACTGTAGTCCATCTGTTTCTCTGCATACTTTATTAGCCCTCTTTCACCCAGTTCTTCAATCTTCAGAACCCCCACAGGACCACCACAGAGCAGGTATTTTTTGATGTGTTAGTGGCATGTTAGTGTGTGTTGTGCTGGTCTGAGTGAATCAGACACAGCAGTACTGCTGGACAGTTTATAAAAACTCCAGCAGCACAACACACACTAACACACCACCACCATGTCAGTGTCAGTGCAGTGCTGAGAATGATCCACCACCCAAATAATAACTAAAATTAAATAAATGAAGGGCAGTCTCTGACTTTTTCCCACTACAGTGTAACAGCCCGTGTGCATGGAAAACCACAAAATAAGCTGTTCTCTGTCATGCATATGCAAAGCATGGCAGATTGTGCATTTACTAAAGAAAAGGCCAGTTTTGCATGGATTTTTCTCGCCATTTAAATTCAGGTAGCGGCATTAACAAACATGACTTCTTTTAACGATGACAGCAAAGACACAGTGGTTAAATGGAGGCACAAGCTCCTTAAAAAATATTTACCCACAGAATAACACAGAATTATCAGGATCTGATAAATGTGAAGACGCAGCACAAAATACGCAGTGATTTGGCAACAATATGCGCTCGCAGGGCATGTTACACACACACTCCTGGGTCGCGGGGGTGCTGGAGCCTATCCCAGCAATCATTGGGCGGAAGGTAGGAAACACCCTGGACTGGTCGCCAGTCCATCACAGGGCAGATACACAGACATATACAATCACACACACATTCACACCTACGGGCATCTCCAATCGGCCTGACTGCATGTCTTTGGACTGGGAGAACATGCAAACTCTACACAGAAAGGACGCTGGTTGTCCGGCTGGGGAATCGAACCCAGGCCCTTCTTGCTTAATATTGTTAAGAAATAATCACTAAACTTTTAGTTTCTGTTTAGTCCCCAGCCTGTCGACTGCTTCATTATTTCTCTATGCCTTTTAAACCTTGTGTCTCGTGAGCAGTTTGCAAAGTCTGCATGATATTAGTAAATCGAACGGTAATCTCAGACGCATTGTGAGCACATATTGCGGTCATACCAACACACATTCTGCGCTGCTCTTTTGCATTTTCTGCTCACTTTATGGTGTAAGAAACAGGACAACTAGACAGCGAGAGACAGTTTATTTCCTCTATCATGAAATCGGGGTCTAGACATCAAGCCAGGTCTTATCAAACTCAGCCATGCCCCTCAGCCAGACCGAGCACACCAAGGCCATTCAAAAGTCCGGAGGTCAACTAAACCTTGAAGACGTTTTAGTTTAGATGTGGGAATACTGTTCAACCTTCTTTAGCCCTCAAGTAATATTCTAAAATATTAAGTTTTTTTTTTCCATTTTGTGTATTAACACACAGTTAGCATATTTTCTTAGCACCATGCACCACAAACATTACTATCAGTAGATTCACGTTCCATAAAATTTGTCACGTGTCAGATTAAAAACCAGCTTGCATGAGTATTTTGGCTATGTGAAGCTCCCTAAGCCCCTTTTGAGTTACCGTGTCAGTTTACATTGCTGGCTATGCATTGTTTTTTACTTGTGTCAATTGTGTCTGTGTTCATCATTTATTTGTATATCACATCATTTAGTTGTATGTTTTATTTTGCTAAATGTTGTCAGACGCTTGTTTTTGCCATGTCTGTTCATGTTTGCTGTAATTGTGAATCTTATGTGGTGCTTTATTTTGCTGTAACATGGTCAATTCCTGCGACAGGTGGTCTAAAATTTAATCATTAAAGGAATACCCCAGCACTGTTCAACTGTAGTATATGGTAGATTACCACATACAGTTATTCTAACACATTTCCATTTGTAAAACAACAGAAAACCTCTTGACTCACAACACTTCTATAATACAAGACAGTGGGCAAGAGGTTTCTCTTCTTTTATTCACTAAATTAAAACTAGTTTAAAAATACTGTCTGCAGTGATCAACCACATTGCACAGATATGGCAGGTAGAGATTAGGTTTGAAAAATGCTGGAATATTGCTTTAAATACAAACTGAATATCAAGAAACTGCGTCATTGTGAAACAACATTGGACCTTTACACAATAAGCATAATTTTTTTTTTTTTTAGTTTTAGACCTTACAGTTGAGAAGTTCAGTCAAAGGTACGGGTAGATTTCAAATATATGGTACTCGTTTTTTTTTTGGTTTTTTTTTATGGACAAAATGAAAATTTTGATCAGCACTACCATCTGTTGTTAAACATGTTTACAATGGCAGTGCTGCAGTAGTCTCTAGAGGGAGGTTTAAAGCCAGAAAATCCCTTCTGGTGATGTATTTTGAAGGTGAGAGTAACCTTTAAAGAAACCTCAATTCCGTTGAGGTGAATTTCTGAAGGTGGTCAGGTTTAAAATGTGTTTTTTCATTAACTGGAGAATGCAGAAGCAAGGCAGAGAGCTAACATTACTGCTTGGGAGCCTTTTATGATATGCAGTCTAGGTTTCCCAAGAAAAATTCCCCCTGTTGGGACAATAAAGTTAATCACATCGAATCAAGCTGAATATCATATTGCAAACTGTCTTCAAGTCGTCATTACAAAGGCGGATTACTCAGAGCCCATCAGATGAAGAAGATAACTAGCTAAAAGCTAAAGTTAGCAGGGTCACTACCTGGCAATTTAAATATTTTAGTTTGGCTTTTTTTTTCTAACTGAAACAGTTAAAACCTTGTTTCTAGCATCCATTTTGTGCTGAATAAAGATAGTTTCACAGTTTTCCTTGTGATTTTGTTCAACAAACCGAAGTAAGAGTTGCTAGGGTGTATTTGTTAGCCTGTAGCTCGGTGGCTAGGATTGGTTGACACCACAAGAATTTCTAAAGGTTGTTTGATGCACTTGCGTAGTATATACATTTTGTCAAATATATGAGGCTGAGGGTTATAATAATACAGAATACTGCGTAACAAGACAAATAATATGTTAAGCTCTAGTTTTAGGCCAGAATGTCTCCTATTATTATCTTATTTTAGTGTAGTTTTGTTTGATTTAACCTAGTGTACAAAAACCTGTTTTTGTCTGATTGCTTTATCTCTAACCCTACAGCGCTGGATGATCTGGACAGTGCGGTGGACGATCGGGACAGTGACTACAGGAGTGAGACGAGCAATAGTCTTCCCCCACGCTATCACACCACAGCCCAGCCCAACTCCTCCCTACATCAGTACCCCATGGGACCACGTTTCCAGAAACACATTGACTCCTGCACGGATTCCGTGCATAGTTTTGAACTGGACTATAGAGACCATCATGCCAGCAGGTATTGTCCGTTGTTGTCCCAAAACAACATGTGTTTGTTTCTCATGGCACATGCGTTTTTTTACAAGCGATGGCAGTGGTCTCAGAATGCCCCTATGCAAAGCCAGAATAGAGGGGGCTTGTTTTTGAAATGTGGAATCACCAGCAGCACTGGAACTAGAGGCATTTGTATTATTGTCTGGTGCAGTCTTTAGAAAACAGCTTTACTTAGCCAAAAGTCCTTTTGTTGTCCATGAGATTCTCCCTTTGGCATTTCGCTGTCTAGTTTGGTTTGAAGCTATTTATCCACTCAAAGCCTCAGTACAAGTGGGCCGTAGAGAAATAGGGCAATTCCGGTTTAATTGTTGTTAGAGATATGTTGCAAATGTCCCATATTGCCGTGCTATCCACATTGGTGTCCACTGTGGAAGTATGTTGTTCAAAGAGCCATTTGAAGGGAATTGTTTATTCCTCCTTTAATTTAATTCAAACATTTAACAGAAACTCTGATATTCCAATAGACTACATACACTCACTCAGTTAATCACATTTCTTACATCTCTTGTGAATTGTGTGTTGGTTTAGACAATTCTACTGAGCTATACCCTAATGGTTGTCTGCTGCGTTTTGTGGAGGAATGGTGGATAAAGACGCAAAAGAGGAATTAGGTCTTTGAAATTGTGTTTATACTGTATAGTGTAATATATATTTTTGTGGAACGGACATGGCCTAGATTTGAAGGTGCACATACTTAGTGTTATTACAGTTATTATTTTTTGTTAATAAATTCTCTGCAAATGTATCTTATGCCTTTATATTCCAAAGTGTCCAATTGAAAATTCCTTCTTGTTTTTTGTCTGTCTTTTATTATATTTTGTGTTGAATTATTTTTTTCTCTTTCTCTTTCCTTTTTTAATTCCCCACTCATCCTTTAATCAATCTTTTATTTTTATTAGAACTCTAAATCAAAGAGGAAGGGTAAAAATTATTCCTGTAGATTCAGGTATGGGAGTGGAAGAGTGGGAGGCAAAATACAAAATCTGGGGTAAGAGTTCACTAGACGAATTCCTTGATAAAGAAGACGGGTACTGGGATGAAGAGGAAGGTGGACAAAATGACAAAGTCCTCCACATGGACAAGCCTGCGCATGACTCCACAGACAGTCAGCTGCCACTGAAAACAAAAAGCAAGGCCTCATTGAATGCTGCCTACCCCGAGGGCTATGACACAATTGACCGAAGACGCAGGAAAAAGATCAGAGATCCAGGAGGTCTTGTGAACGCTAGAGCAGAACACACTGGAGATGACTCTTTTCCTCCTGATCTTGCTCTCCTCCGTCAGAAAAGAGGAGAGCTTGTGATGCGTCAAGTGGCAGAAATGGAAGAAGAGGATGAAAAGATGATGCCGTGCCTGAGGCCGTACAAAAATGGCTTACTCTACAAGACTAGAATGTGGGCCAAAAACAAGCTGGAAAACACATTAGAGAACTACGAAGCATATCAAGAGGAAGAAGAGGCGAGACTTAGGGCAAGCTTTGGCCTTGATTCTGAGGGCTCGGATGAGATGCAGAATTCAGTGGGTTCTGAGGAGGAGTTAGAGGAAATTGTCTCTTTAGCTGAGGCATTCCGTTCTGAGGATGGTCGGGGTTATGACCACTGCAGGTATGCGTCGCCCTATGGTGGCTATAGTGACAAACTTCAGGGTTATCGTGATAAGAAGCCTGCAAAGGGTAAAATTGGGGGATGGGCCCCAGAGACCATGCTGTCCCCTGTGGAAGAACCCAGTGATGAGTATGTTGACCCCATGGATGAGCTTCAGTGTCTGGTTGAAACTGTGTCAGAATACCTAGCTGAAAAAGAGGAGGAGATCAGCAGATACGGTTCTCTGCCTAAATCTAGCAAATCAAGGCTGTCATCCCAGGGTAGTGCAAGAACAGAATCTACTGGAGATGAGCAAGGCATCACTTCCAAGGAGGTGAAAGGAGAAAATGAGCCTAAAGAAAGAATTTCAGTGGAACCAGGAACTTCAGGAGTGAAGAATGCCATGAGCTCATTGTTTAGCTCCCTCACTGATAAAGTTAGCTCAGGTTCAAAACAAACAAAATCGAATTCTGTTGAGCAGTCAGAAACATCAGCCAATGTTACAGGAAGCTCTGGTTTGTCAAAGCTGTTCTCTTTTATGCCAGTCAACAAGTCTCCAAGTCCAACGCCAGTAGCTGTGGTATCCCCCACGCAAGAAGCTGATAGGAAGTTTCCAATGCCTTTTCAACCAGCAGATGCCAAGTCACAGGAGAAAAATCAGCATGCCCATACCAGGAGTCTCACTCAGACCCAAAATAATAGTGGAATTACAATTCAAAAGATATCTGAAAGCCAACCACCCCCTTCTATAAACTCAGTGATGGGAAAAGCGAACCCTCTGAAGGGTGTTAATGACAAGAGCAAAAGTTTTTCTGAAGATGGGTATTTTTATCTCAACAAGCTAGATGGAAGTCATAAGCAGCAATTGGACCATCCTAAAACTGTGGGAGGTAGTTTAAGGGAAGGGAAATCAGGAAGTGCATATCAGACTAACTCTGGAAAATCTCATTTTGTAGAAACACATAGCAAAAGTGAACATACTGAAACCACATCACAAAAATCTGCAGATCAAGGATTTTTCAGTCCTTTTAAGAAATCTTTTGGTTCACTGATCTCACCTGTACCTCCTATGCCTCCTCAACATCAGACACAAACAGTGTTTCCTGTTTTCAGATCAGAAGAGGATATAAAAAAAGAAAATCCTGTGGATACCTCATTACTTGGGGGCAAAATCAAACTTCCTTTCCTTTCATCAGACAATGTATCTGCCCAGCAGCCCTCTAAAGCAGAAGGAGGAATGTTATCTGGACTGTTAAAATTTGCCTCAGGTGATGATAGTAATGTATCCAAAAACACACCACAAAATCCCATAAAGCCAGGTCAAACATCTGCTGCTAACAATAATTCTGCGTGCAAAGTTTCATCAATCCCTGACAGTGCCAAGTCTCCACCACAGAATGTTGCTAGTCTTTGTGAAACAGAGCCTAAAGGGAACATGGAGACAGGCTGGTTTTCCAATCTTTTTAAGACTGCACCAAATGAAAATGTGCAGGCTGCTGCTCCACAGGTCCAGAGGCCAGGGAACCAGAGTTCTCAACAACCAGTTGGGTCAAATCAGAAAATGACAAGAGGTGAACAACAAAAGAAGACTGTTAACCAGCAAATACAAAACACACAACAAAGTCCAGGTCCAGCTGGAGCCTGTACTGCAGAAAGCCATACTTCTCAGCCAGAACCTCAAGGTTTCTTTTCTAGTTTGTTTAAATCCACTTCCTCTGAGAATACATCGGGTTCTAGAGCAGGTCCTAATCAAATGCAACAAGGTTTGCGCTCTGGTGTCATGAAGTTTGCCTCTACCAGTGATGTGTCAGTGGGGGCCCAACCTAGTCAGATGCACTCAAAGAATAATCCAAGTCAAACATCAAATTCACAGCAGACCTATCTGCAACATCAGCCACATCAACAAAGTGCATCCAACCCATCTCAATCAGGAGGACTCTTCTCAGGGATTTTAAGGTTTTCTTCTGCCGAAAATGTGTCTGTAGCATCAGCAACAAATATACCACCTCAACAAAGAGACTCCACACACAGTCATCTCTCTCAACATCCTGCAGCATCTCAGCAAGCATCTCCTCAAAAAGTCCCTCCTCAGCAAGGAGGTATTTTGTCTGGCCTTTTTAAATTAGCTTCCAGTGACAATATCCCAAGTACTCAAGCTGACGTAACTCAGCAGCAACATGTACCGGTTACTGCTCAACCTTCCCATCAACCTCCCAAGCAAAATATACAGCAACAGAATAACACTGACAAGGAACAACATACAGGCATAGTAGAAGGATCTAGACAAACTCAAAATGCACCTCAACAAGCAACATCTCAACAAGGTGGCCTTCTCTCTGGGCTTTTCAAATTTGCTTCTTCAGATAATGTGTCTGCCTCTCAGTCTGCATTGACTCAGCAAGCAGATGCGTCCACCAGTCATATGAATGAATGTCACCCAAAGTCAAGACAAAGCCAAAGTTCTGCTCTAGAAAGTGTAACAACTAACCCTGAACAAAATCCTCCTATAACACAAAATAACCAATCAGGAATATTGTCTGGACTTTTTAGCAAATTAAGAACTTCATCTGAAGAAGTAGCACAGAGCAGCTCTATTCCTCTTGACCAGAAACAACCACAGCAGAGTTCACAAAAAGAAGGTCCTTTTCAAAATGTTCCATCATGTAGGCAGCTACCTCTGCTAACACCTCCTTGTCAGGCTACAACGAGAGACCAAAAGCCCACTGGTCAGCAAGGTTTCATATCTGGTCTTTTCAGTCGGACCTCAATGGAAGTGCCTTTATCTAAACCAGGGGAACAACCCATGCAATGTACAGATCCGAGGGCAAGTTCTAGAAACTCCCCAGGCTTCATCTCAAGCCTTTTCAAAAATAGTGCAAATGAAACCATGTCACAGGGCAGCTTAGAAATGGATAAAGAAACAAAGGAAAGTGGGGCTTTTGATCACCTCATGTCTAGACACAAGGGAGCTACTGTAAATGTGCCTGTCTACAGTGATAATAGTTTGGACCTGAGGACATCTGCAAGCTATGCAAGGTCGCAACAAAATCACTCAGCTTATACTTCAAACAGCACTGGTCATTTGCCTCAGATCTGTAACTCTTCTAACTCAAGCAATACAAGAAACATATCATACAGCACTGAAAATATTTACTCCTCTTTTGGTGCCACAGGTCAAGGAGCGCTGTCCCAACAATATTTACGGCAAAGTTACGCCTCCTTACATAGTGTGCCAGGACAGTATGGATATCAAAATGACTCTTTATTGTATACTAAATATGGACTTAGTCCTACGTATGAACATTCTTGGATGCAAGATTCTATTCTGTGGCAACAATTGAATGACCAGTCATTGGGCTACTATCCAGAGGAATATGGGCAT